TATTTTGCCCTTATCTCTAATTTTGTTGAAGAGAGAGTATAAGCAATAATAGGAAGGAACAAGGGTTTTTGCTGGTTGAGATAAGGATAGCTGTACGGGGAGTTTACTTGCATTGTTTTCCTGTGCACATGTGTTACATTCTAAATTAATTCTTCTCGAACGAACCTTTTCTCTAGTTCCTAGTCCCTTTCTCCTACTGGTCTCTGTCACTTTAAAGTTTCTATCTCAGGTGTTTTATTACAGCAACAGAAAGCTAACTGAAAAGAAGTCAGCAATGGAACAATGAAGGTGGTGGTACCATCCAAGCACATCAAGAATTAATGACAAGGGAATTCTCAGCTGGGCATGGTGGTGCTGGCCTGTCCTACGTGCTTGGGAGGCAGAGGCAGGAGGATTGTGGGCTCAAGGTTGCCAACACCCTGTCTCAAGAAACAAAAAACAAACAAAACAAAAGAAGAGGGAGGGATTCTCTGTGTCTAAATTATCTCAATTCTTCTCAGCTCCAATCCCATTCACAAAATCACAGGGTTTTTTTTTTTGAGATTTAAATGTAAGAAGAAAGCTCATTTAAATTGTTAAGGTGTCAAGTTCATATTTGATTTTTGGTTCTTTATTTAAAAGTATCTATAACAGTTTTCATAAATGGTTTCTCATAGTTTATTAAAGTTTATTTGTGACTGAACAAAGCCTTTATGGTATCCGTTGTGGTCAAGTATGCATAGTTTTGAGTGGACAAAGTGAAACGAGAACCATCAATTAAAAGCTCATAAATACCCACAATTAGTTTGAAAGCCACTCAGCTGAAAATTCTACTAATTTAGATAGCAACAAAAGTTTGCCTTTAATAAGCAATATCTTTCTTCAAAATAATGAAGGCCATTGTGTTAACGAGATTACTGGGGAAAGACAGGTTTATAAAAGAGATCACAATAGTTTATGTATCTCCTGGATGTAGCACTCAAATATGTTATGTAAACATATACTGAATATATTATGTAAATGTATATTCACACTTAAATAACTAGCATCATATCCTAACATTATAAAATAGATGTGTATCTCTACCTAAAAAAGAATTATATTTCTTTAAAGATTTTTGGCAGTACTGGGGGCTGAACTCAGGTTTGCCACACCTCCAGGTAAAGATATTTCATTAATTTTCTTTGACATACCCAAATTTAGACCTACACACAGTTTTAGGAGCCACAGAAAATTAAGAATTGCTCATGGCTGATCAGTCTTGGACCAGAATCTGTTTACTGGCCACCTATTTATAGGAACCTGACTATACCACTCTCCAAAGCAGACTGACCCTGAACTCTGGGCTCCTGCAAAAGGTCTCCTGGCCCTCAGCTGGGGCAGTCACTGGGGCAGGACACTGACCCAAGCAGGCTGGCCCTGTTCTCTAAGAAGAAGGTGGTATTGAGTGTACAGTTGCTGTTTGCTGTCCCCCCTGCCCTGGAAGACCACCCAAGTTCCAAGTTCAGTGTTGTCTACGGGTGCAGACTTGGAGGGTGAAGCATGAGTGAGGGGACCTGGACTAGCAGAGCCAGTGCTTCTGTGATGGCTAGAGAGTGACTGTAATCGCCATGGTGTTGGGTCTCTCTGTTCTCAGAGGGACGATCTGGAATCTAACCATCCCCTGCTCTAACTTCACTCTCCGCAGTTGGAGCAGACTGTGGGTATCAGTGACTTCACTGGGAAGAAATACAGACAGGGATTGCCCAGCTCAACCATTATTTCTCAGGGGCCTCCAAGTAAATAGTCTATGAAGGTCCAGGAAATCTTAGATTTATTTGTTTTTAACTAATCCACATTAATATAGTTTATTTGTTCATTCACTTACGTTGATCTCTGTCTTGTAACTATCAGCTAAGGTAAGAAAATGAGTACCTATCATGTCGTGTTGTCCCTTTGTCTCATTTTATCAGATGTGCAGTTCTCCTTTTGCATTTTGGGACCTTAAGAGGCCCCAGATCTATGGTCTGTGGGTTGATTGGCCCCACCCTGCCCCTCAGCCCACACTAAACTCCCACCTTTGTCTTCACTGCCAGCCAGCAGTGCAGATTAGCATTCAGCTGGCCACCTTGATGCCCATCATGGAGCTTGAGTCCACTTGAGTGGCTCTTTGGGAACTGTACTATTTTGGGTAGATCTACACTACTCTTCTTCAAGTTGAATAGTGTTTGTGTGTTTCTGTTGAGCGTGTTGGGGATGCACATGTGCACTACAATATGAACATGTGCCAGGCGCCATGCACCAGAGTATAATGTGCTGTGAACCAACTACTGAACCCACTTTCCAGGTGAGAAAACCGAGGCTCAGACAGGTTCATGAACTCTACCCAGCATGCAGAGCTGGGGCCTCAGCTTCAGGCTGCATGCTTCTGGCACCCATGGCCTCCCCTCCGGTGAGTCAGTCTCCTCAGGAAGGGGACAGGCGCAGGAGTAGGTGAGAAACATCCATGTCACTGGGGTCCTTATTGGACACCCAGCTAAGCTTGGAAGTAGATCCCAGAGCTGTCCATCCCTGTAAGACCCCAATTTTACTCAGGCTGTTTAGAAAACCCCAGAAGTTCATGAGCTCAGTAGCCCATGCCTGAGTCAGCAGCTCTGGTCCAATCCTGCCCCTCTCTACAGATCTGGTGACTGGGCCTATTGATTCCTCCTTATGGCCAAACTCCTTCCTCCCAACACCCAGTGCCAGGCCCCAGATCTGACTCCCTCCTGCAGGGTGAACTGCACAGCAGGGCCATACCACTCTTGGCTTTGAAAGAACAGCCTGGATTTTTGCGTCTGCTCCCTACAGTCTGTGGGACTCTGCGGGGGGGTTATTTAATCTTGCTGTTGTTTCTTCATCTGAGAAAGTGGAATGGCAGAGCTGCTATGAGGTGCAGGGGAGAGCCCCAGCACAGTGCCTGGGGCAAGCAGGGAGCTCCAGGTCCACAGGCCGGCTCTGCCTATCACACATCCCAGCCTGTCCCCTCACTACCACCGGCCCAGTGGTGCCCATCTGCTGGTTGCCCAGGTTTTGGTTTACGGGGCTTCTCCACTGCTGGCAGATTCAAGGTCAAGGGAATTGCCTCCTTATATGCCATAATGTCCTGTTCCTCATCCTGCACTTGCTTTATTGTCATTTATGCCATCTGCTTCCTGCAGGGTACAAGATATTTAATTAGTCCCTCACATGGTGCCTTTCACAGAGTAGGCGCTCAGAAAATGCTTTCCCAAAGGACAGCATAAATCAAAGGTTCTCAGTCTGCACATCAGACACCTGCAACACAAGGGGACTAGAAGGAGGTCAGTCAACTCTCTCGGGAAATGACTCTTGAAATTGCAGGGTTGTGACATAGGTGTCCTCCTGCTTGGGGATGGATAAGGAGCATTGTGGACCATGGCTACTTCTTGGCAAGGAGAAGGATTAAGTCTCCAGTTGGGGGTCCACCTCCCGTCATGGACTCTAGTGCAAAGCATCCAGGTGGGTGCTATAGAGTATTTCACTGATGGGACCAGGAGGAGTTCTGACTATGGCTGGGTGTGGTGGTTCACACCTGTAATCCCAGCACTCAGAGGTTGAGGCAGGAGGATTGAGAGTTCAAGGTCAGTCTGGGCTATACTCAGTGAAGACCCTGTCTCAAAAAAAGATTTGACTGTATTTCTTATTCCAGACCCACAGAGCACCGTTAGTCCTCCCAACCTCAGAGAAAAGAGCTTGTTATTTCTAACTTTTATTTTCAGTTTTTTGGCAGTACTGAGGGCCCAAACCAAGACCTTGCACATGCTAGGCAAGGGCTCTTCCACTGAGCTATACCCCAGTGTCCCCACTCTTTTCAAAATTAAGTCTTCTGTATGTATGCATTCACTTCAGTGTCATACTACCAGTGGATTTCAGTTTAGATCATCCTGATAACCTATATTTAATGACTTATTTAAAGTCATGGCCACATGGTAAATATCATTTGAGGCAAATCATCCCTTTCCTAGCAAACCTTTGGGGTGGTGGAGCAGGGAGTGAGGTAGCAGAGGTGTCTTAATATGCAAGTTTGCTTTCTGGATGTGAACCTCAGTGATGTTAGCAAGGCTGGGTTGCCAGGAATTCTGCCTTCCTTCTTCACATCCACATGGCTTACTAAGTGGTCCTTAGCAACGCAAGGCTAGATGGTCACACTGCACTTCAGAAGCTGAGGATACCAGGATGCTGGCAGGGACTCAATCCCACTGCACTGAGCTGCGATTCCCAGCCTCTCTGTTCAAAGAAGATGTCGGTGTCAGTGCTCACTAACCTGCGGTGCTCACCATGTACTTCCACTTGACCACATAGGCATCCCCCTCATGGAACTGCCCGATGCTCTGTCTGGGCAGCCGGCTGTAGTCAAATTCTAGGATATGCCAGACATCCACAGAGACGCTGGCAATCTCAAACTGTCTCCTGTCCTCCCCTTCCACCAGGCCATAGCCACGGCCAATGTTCACCCCATCCAGGACAGTGCTGGCTGTCACTTGGGGCACTGCCACCATCCGCGTCACATCACAGGGTCTGATATCTGCTTTCAGATCTTCCTACAAGGGAACATAAAAATGTTCAGTTGCCTCTGAGCCTACAGCTGTTTCTTCTATTCAATGCTTTGCTTTTCTTTCAGTGTTGTTGGGGATGGAACTCAAGGTCTCGTGAATACTAGGCACAGGCAAGCCCTCTACCCCTGAGCTACATCCTCAGTCCCATTTCAACTGTTGATGGATGTATACTTTCATATCTTGTCTTGGGGAATCCTACAGCTTTTGGGAGAAGGCTGTATTTAGGAGAGAGTATGGAAGGCTGAATTCCCATGGCTACAACAGTGAATGCTAGAATGATGTAACTGGAAATACTTGGCTGTTTTATTCATGTACTCTGGAAAGTCTTTTAACACCATAGATGGGACCCAAACAAAGCCACAAGTGTGAGACTTGATCACTGGAATACCTTCTGCTGGACAAGATCCCCAGCATTCTTCTCTGTAGGTCTCTTCAATTCAGTCCAATCGAGAAATTTCTCTTTGAACAAAATAGTCTCATTGTGTTCAGTAAGTCTCCCAAATATTGCCCAGTCGGGCCGTCCTTGTCCTTTCCTGCAGAGTGGCAGTGGATGAGAAGAGAAATCAGATTCAGCCATGCTAAGCAAAGGAAAGTACTTAAAACGAACATGGCTATTGAAAAAAATAACTGCTACATATTGAGTGGTATATACAATGAACAGTTTATTTTTTTACTTATTTTACCAAAGAGGGGGTATTGTGTTTTTAGCCTGTGAAGCCAATGTGCCTGAATGCAACCATGCCAGGAATGGACTTCTTGTGTATTCTTGCAAGCTCTTGTCTTAGAGATTCCCTGGGGATGGCACTAGATCAGAAGCATAGCAAAGGCAGAGCCACACCTATATCTCGCTCACTTTATGAAGCCCACAGTGACCTATAGGTCACCAAGGTTCCCTGAAATGAGTCTATAGAGAGAAAGAAGATGGAGCCCCCTCAAGTTCTATATTTTGTGTTATGTGACAATAAGGCTCTTCAGGATAGGGCATGCTCCTAAAATGATTGATCATAAGTGAATTTTTACACAAATATTTCTAGGACTAGATGTGTCTAGTGCTGTGCAGCAGACAGGGAAGGCCCAGTGACACAGGAGAGGAAACAGCACGGCTAACCTGGAGGCTTCGAGTGGTCCTAGGGATTTAGAATTTAACACCACATCCAAGAACACAGGTAATTTTTAATTGTTTCAGATGCTAAGGGTAGAACCCAGGGCCTTACACATGCCTACGTGAGCACTCTACCAATGAGCTACACCCCAGCTGCACCCAACACAGGTAATTCAGAAAGACTCGGAGTGTATGGCCTTGAGGATAAGGGCAACTAACTGCTGCTCCTCCAAATTGACCTTTGGCTGTGAATTATGACTAGGATGCTATTGTCCCATGGGATAAATCAGCTGCCCTTCCTGTGTCCTGCTGTGCCCTATGTTCAGTCACATTATATTAGGTCAAGACCACAGTTTCTGATGTCAGCTCTGACGTTAGCTGAAGCACACCCAGGAGGCTGCTTGTTTCTAAGGGAACTGAGAGGGGTAGCATAGTATACAAATACCTCTACCCGTGCTCTCTCTGCAGGCTTCAGCAACCACATATTGGCTATTACGGAAAATTCACAATTGCCCTGAATATCTGGATGACTGTCTTTTCTACAAATCCTACTCTGCAGACTTGCTAAGATGATTATAAAAGGGAACTTGGCCTCCACTTTAGAAACTGTGAAGTGGAGTGAGCAAGAGACACAGCAGACTGCAGTGTGCAGGGTGTGATCATGGGAGCGGGGACCGTGGGCTGGCCACCTCCTTCCCTGGCTTCATGCCTGTCTGGGGCTGAGCCCTTCCCTTTTGGTGGTTTCAGCCTCCTTGTTGTTAAGGACGGTTAGGTGTGTAATCTTGGCTGTATCTTAAAGTTCTAGGGAGTTTTTAAGACACATTGACACATGAGCCACAACCCAAAGGAGCTGAAACACACTACTGGGGCTGGAGTTGGGGCTGGCAGATGCATTTCTTTTCAAAGCCCACTCCAGGGATTCTGTTGCAGAGATGTTTGAAACTAGCAGGCAAGGTGCTCATTCGCCTGCTTTCAGATCTGTGGTCATGCCACATTTAAATAAAATCTGGCCATCATATAGATTATGTGCTCTGTATTATTCTGCCTTTCACTATACCAAATAAAGTAATCTAGCCTTTGTCTGAGTCCTGAAAATCCTGACAGTGACATTATTAACCAGTATTTGCTTAAGAAGGATTTCAGATGTTTTCATCACATTGACATAATTTTTGTTTTTTTAATCATTGTAAAAATTAATAATAAAATCAATGATTGGATTTTTAAAGCAAGAAACTAGGTAGGAACATTGAAATTTGTGTGTTATTCTGTGCTGTTTGGTGCTATATCCATTTTTAATTGATCATATGGCACAAACAGTTTTAGATCATTTTTTGGCAGAATCTTGTGGCATAAAAAACAACAATCCTTTGTATGTCAGAATTCCTTTCTTCATGATCATGTTTCTTAGAGTTTGTGTATCTTCCAAAAAGTTGTTCCAAAACAACTTTAAGAAGTCTAGTTACTCAGCAGGGAATGTTAAAATTACAGTTGTCATTTCAAAACCATGCCTCTTCCTTACCACCTCTGCCCCCGAAGGATAAGTAGGTGTAAACATCTTCTACTGGCAAACAAATCCTGGACTTAAGGCTATGCTGGGAAGAGAGGAGATTAGAAGGAAATGGACCACTTTTGCACTGGCAGAACCTGGAAGCTTTTCAGATCAGCATGGAATTTGTTTAAACACTGCTACTCATCTGTTGCGACAGCACCTTGAATGCTGCAAAGGGGGAATTATTTGCTCCAAAAATTAAATATAAGCTGGGTGTAGTGGCGCACACCTGCAATTTCAGCACTCTGGGGAAGATGAGGCAGGAGGATGGGGAGTTCCAAGGCTAATCTGGGCTATATAGTGAGACTCTGTCTCAAAATCTAAAATAAAATAAAAATGTTATAAAAAAGCAAAACTTAAATGTAATACAAGTGTCTTCCCAAGGACTACATCATCCTACATTTATTCTTTAATAGTGAGGTAAAAGCTAAAGAAGTTTATTTTCTTTGTGAATATTCCCGGTCCATAGCACACAGCCATTTATGAAACTGCACCATTTGTACAAAAGAGCAGCAGCAGCTAGCTGGGAAGACCTGGGTCCACAAAGGGATTCTGCACACGGCCCCAGGGTACCTGGGGATGAGCGGGTTACATTCCCCGGGATCCAGAGGGTTGATGTCACAGTTCTCATAGTCAAAGGTCCCATTCCACAAGTGCTTTGCCAGCTGAAATGCTATTTTTCGTTGGGCCAATGTGACTTCTTTCCCATGCCACACGTAAACTTCACTGCCAAAATCAAACACCAGGACCTGGGGAAGCGGCACAGAAGAATTTATTAACTTTGAGGACATGCTCCGGTGGAATCGGGCCTCTGCTGACAGTCAAATGGGTCATGATACAAATCCCAATAGGGCAACCCATACAAACACAAAAGGGTCACAAGGTCCCACCAGCTGGCACCACCCTGCCAAGCTCTCTTGCACTAAAGGTTTCTCTTCTGAGCTCTCAAACCACTTAAAGCTTTGATTAATAAAAGTTATTTAAATACATCTTCTTATCCTCCCTCCCCTCTTTCCTTGCTTCTCCCTCCAGCATTCGTCATGCATTCATTCACTTAACATACACAGGTGACCACATGTGTGAGGCTCCAATGATGTCTTCTGACCTGGGCACAATTCCAAGAGCCATAGGGCAGAGATCATGATATTAGTCTTACAGAAGTGGCTTATTGTTAAGTATATCTGAATGTAATGCTATATCTTACTTCCATGCTTCTGGTTTCTTCTGCTCTTTTTTCTTGGAATAATTCTACATTCATTTCCAGCAATCCAAATTCTACTTAACTCTAAATTAAGCTCATTTAAATCTTGTTTAAAAATTATTCTTCATGGTTTCTTTTCCTGTGACCTTCATTTTTCCTGTTTAAACACCTGTACATATCATGCACTGAATCTAATTTTGTGTTACATCCTTTCTGATATGCGTCTCCCCAGTGAATTATGTATGTATGCATGTGGCACTTACTTATTTATTTTCATCAGCATATATTAATTGCACACCTGAGGAGTTTCATTATGACATTTCCATACATATGTACCATGGATTTTGAACATGTTCACCCCACTTATTACTTTTTCTTATCACTCCCCCATGTAATTTAAGATCCCTTTTGCATCTTCTGCCCTCTCCTTTTTCTTTTTTGGGGGGTTCTTTTTGAGATAGGGTCTTGCTATGTAGTCCAGGCTGGCCTCAAACTGGCTGGCAATCTTCCTGCCTCAGTCTCCTGAGTGCTGCCATTACAGGTGTGAACCACCATTCCTAACTGTGTACCTTTCATTTTCTTTCCTCAATACTTAAGAATGCTTTTTGGCCTTGAAAATATACATAATTAATAAATACTACTGGTGTGAGTGAAAAAAACCACATAACTTGAAAAATCCATAAACTACACATACATGCATCTATTATTCCTGAAATTTAAGGACTGAAAAAAATTTAATCTTCATGCACAATTCAAGAGATAGGGAAAAGTAATACTTATATTTGGTCTAAAACCCAAATACTTTCAATGACCCAAGAATTTTATATTAGTATTTTAGGTGGCAGTAATGGTATGAAATCTCAAATAATCATCCTTTAAAGAGCTACAGTGTTCCACCCTCAGAAGGAAAGCTGGCTAACGTCATTGGGCACTAACTCTCTACTCTTCTGGGTAGGCCTGGGCAGACTACTCTCGCTGTCTGTCCTGCTAGTGTTGTCTGTACCTCTTTGGGTTGCAGCAGAGAGCACTTTGGAATCTTCCCCCAGTAGTCATCATCAGGTACAAGCTTGTCATCCATCAAACGGTAAATACAGTTTGTCTCTATGATGGCTGTCTCATACAGCTCATCTTCCTTTGGGTCTCCAGCGTCTTTGGAGTAAGAACAACAGGAGAATATCACATTTTACATGGAAGAATGAACCAAGGGAGAAGAAAGGAGGTTCAAGTCTCATTAGCATCTCAAGTACAGTAAACTCTTACATTGGTAACTGGTTTGCCCACCCAGGAGCTTCCAGAAGTCTTTCGCTGCATGAGTGTGTGTATTAATTCCTTCCTCGATGGTTTGGATGTAAGTAGCTCTACACCCAAGTTCCCTTTTTGTCTGAATTAAAGTTGCAAGTTCTGAGGCCTGAAAAAAGAGGAACACAATTATCTGTGCAGAAAAGGTGACCTGCTCAAAGTGGCACATGTTGCAATCAGAAGAGAAATGGATTGTGTCTGACAGGAAAACCCTGTGAACACAGCACGGGTAGGAAGATGCTGGTCGTTTGGTATTTCCAATAAAGTCAGGAAAATGTAACCGTTGGAGACCAAGGGCTATCAATAATTCTTTGGCAGGAAAGGGGTTTGAATCCAGAGCTTCACATCTTGTAGGCAAGAGTGCTACTACCTGAGCCATGCTTCCAGCCCTTTTTGCTCTGGTTATTTTGGAGCTAGGGTCTCGCTTTTTGCCCAGGCCAGCCTGTACCTTGATCCTCCTATTTATGCTTTCCACAATAGCTGGGATGACAGGTGCACACCTGCAAGCCCAGCTTTTATTTGTTGAGATGGAGTCTCTTGAATTTTTTTACTGGGGTGGCCTAGAAATTTGACCTTCACAATCTCAGCCTCCCAAGTAGTTGGGATGACAGGTACACGCCACGAGGGGTATTAATTCTTTAGAGAAAATAGTTCTCAGTCTTCAATATTCAGCAGATCAAATGTGAAGCTTTCAACAACTACTCATGTCTTGGGTTTTCCCCACAAAATTTTCATTTGAGTCTGTGGCAGAACTTCAAGGGGCCTAGGATAAAGGTCTTTGACTATGTGTCGGTTCCTTTTTTATACAGGGTAGGAATAAGCCTTGGACTAAAGCACCCCACTCTAGCACCTCATGAATGGTTCTCTGAGAGACCTTCAGGAAAAGACATGCCACCTGCTCTTTCTAGCTTGAGCATTTGGGAAGCTCTGCAAACACCTGACAGCTGGGAGAACATTCCACTGGTGTGTAATAATAGAGGCCATAACTAGTATTTTTTCATTATTTTGGTCATACTGGTGTTTTGAACTCAGAGCCTCATGCTTGCTGGGAAGTGCTCTATCATTTGACTCATGTCCCCAGGCCTTTTTACTTTAGTTATTTTTCAGATGGGGTCTTAGGCTTTTTGTCTGGAGCTGGCCTCAGACCTCAGTCCTCCTAGCTCTGCCTTCTGAGTAGCTGGGGTTGCAGGTGTGACCCACTGTGCCCAGCCCAACTAAAGTACTTTATTGTTCAGATACCCACTTTTGCCTTTTCGATGACATTTGCGAACTCTCCTACCCACAGGAAGCAGAACTGGGGAGACAGCAGAAGGAAGCAGTCACCACTGTTGAGCGAGGAGGCGCGAGGTTCCACCAGCCTTGTCTGCACGTGTCTTCTTCCTAAACACGAAGCTCAGAGTCACTGTTTTCCTGTACAGGACTGGAACTAGGAGGTACCCATAGTGGAAGCATCCCTGCTACAGAGTCTCACACTCTTGTCTACTAGGATAAGTTCCTGTGACCCCGTATGGCATGGGCCACACAACAGCATTAGCAAGTACTTTCCCTGCTTTGTGCTTGTGGCGGTCACCACACTTTCAGGACCCTGAACAATGTCACTGTATGGCATGAATATGGATGCATTAAGGTCCCCTCCTCTGGGGAAATTAGCAAGCATGCTCCTTTCCCTCCCTCCTTCTTCTAGTCCCTCTTTCCAGCCAGCCCACCTCCTGCCATGCTGCAGGGAAAGGCAAGCTTCCCACAGGCTCTCTTCCTCGGGAACTTTCCCTGCCTTGTGTGTCTGTTAGCGCCTTCTTCCTAAATGATTTAATGATTAGATCAGGGGAACAGAGACTGGCTACTTGAGCTTGTCACTAGTCTTTTAAATACACTAAAAAGGACATTGGTTTTGCAGAAATACTCCAGAAACCCACACAGGCAGCGGGGACATTGCATGCATTTTCCTCTCCATGACCATCCAGACCAGGGCCACCACCAGAGGGGCAGTAGACCCTCCCTCCTGACAGCCCAGGGCTTCTCTGCTTCTCACTTGCTGTGTACAGGAAGTGTTGTCAACCATTGACTTCATTTCCTTTTGCTTTCCCTTGATTCTGTCCCCAGGAATGTGCCCTTCTCCCTCTGGCCAGCACAGATCCTTGTTCATCTTAGTAAGAAGTACCAAGTGGGTAGCAGAGACCTGCTTTGAGGACTCAGGGCACATGTGGTGACTGCATGCTAGTTTTAGGACACAGGCCATGGGGCCAATGAGGAAGTAGTTGGACTGGGAGAACAGCTTGGATTCTGGAAGGGGAGAGGCCTGGATTCACCTCCTGCTCTGCCACTAAGCAGTTGTGGTGGCAACATGAATGACCTCTCAGAGCCCCAATGGACAGAAAATTTCCTGCCTCATGGGGCTCCATGAGGTTTAAGTGACGGGGAAAGTATAGCACCTATGGTAGGTTCTCTGAAAGCACATACACCCTCCCCTGATAGGCAATAAAGGGTGCATGTAGGACTCCTACTGGGATCAGACAGCAACCACTGGTCAACATGCAATTCCTCTGCCACCACAATACCTTTAATCTGTAACAACATCAGCTTCTTGTAGGGCACGGCACTGTTGTTAGAGCTCTGCTCTGTCAGATTGACACTCCGCAGGCTGACGTTGCTGAAGTTTTCCTTGCTGGCTAAGCCTGCCAGAGTGACTTCTGAGAAGTTGGAGTTGGTGGACACTGGGTAAGTTGAAGAAGGAAGAACACAGAAGGAAGCAAGATGTTCAGTAGAAATGACAAGATCTACAATCAGAAATTATTCCTGACTGACTCATGACCTTGGTCTTTGAAAGTTGATCTGGGGTAGTGGGGGGGCACTTTCACACTTGATTACCTATGCCATCCATTGCTTAATCACCAGGGAAAGAATTAAATACAGCACGGAACACATAAACTGCTTGTTGGCAAGTGTCAGACCTCACCACGCAGAGTGACAATGTGGACCAACTACTTTAGTCCAAAACCAGGTGCTGAATTATTTGGTCCAATTCTACTAAAAGCAGTTAGAACCCTTCACAATTTGTAAATGTCGGGATGTTCTCAAGGAAGACTGCCGGGCATTTTCACTAAAAGTCTTTATATGGAGAAAAGTTTGAGGCAAAATGACTTACTAGCTAATGTCCTGAGGTCCTCTGCTTTCAAGGCTAACACCATAATTACAAGATGCTGAATTTCCAGAGCGGACCAACATATACCCACAGATCAACTGATCGTCACAAATCTACCCCTGAAACCCACAGAGTGGGGGTAATGGAAAAGTATGCCAAATTTGTGTCAGTAAACCTTTATTTCTCCTTTGTTTAAAAAACTACATATGTTAGAGCAAAATTCAGAAATTTACTTCACTGGGATCAGATTCTAACACTGAAAAAATATACTACTACTTGAGACTTCATATGGTATAATGATTGTGAAAAATACTTAGTATGCTTGTTATAACGAAAAGATTCAAACTATGGAATCAGCGTAGGTGCCCATTATCTGATGAATAGATAAGGAAAATGTGGTATATAAACAGAATGGAGCATATACAGCCACAAAGAGGAATGAAGTTATGTTATTTGCAGGAAAATGGGTAGAAATGGAAATCATTATGTTAAGCGAAATAAGCCAGATGGAGCAAGAAAAATATTGCCTGTTTTCTCTCATATAGACCTAAAAAATGAATGACAGAGTGTAAAATGAGGGGGGTGGGACTACTTGAGGCTGGGAATGAGCAGAAGACAGGAATGTGAAAGGAGAGGGTGGGGTGAGTATGATCGAAATACTTCATATGAAAAGAGAATAATGAATAATGTCTTAAAAGGGAGAGGGGGAGAAGAAAGAGTGACAGAGAGGCAAATTTGATCAAAGTACATTATGTATATACATGTATGGGAAAGTCACAATGAAACCTTTTGCACAGCTCATATATGCTAATAAAGAGACAGGAGAAGAAAAGACACAACCACTTCATCTAAATTCTGTATTTCTAAAAAACTTTAGGAAATACTGGTTTATGAGTGCTATAGAAAAAAACAAATTATAGTAAGAATATTCAAATATTAAGACTATGCAGGCTGGCCAGGTGCTGGTGGCTCATGCCTGTAATCCTAGATACTCGGGAGGCAGAGATCAGGAAGATCATGGTTTGAAGCCAGCTGGGAGAAACAAAAATAACAGGGCTGGCAAAGTGACTCAAGTGGTAGAGCGCCTGCCTAGCAAACGTAAGGGCCTGAGTTCAAACCCCAGTACCATCAGAAACAAAACATAAAAACATGCAGGCCATTATCTCCTCCACGGAAAACACCGTTTTAGAACAATGGGACCCCATGTTATCAGGCAGACAGAAGCAGAGATGCTTGGCCCAAAGTGGGAGCAGACAGCCAGGAGCCCCTCTCCTCACTCTTCATTCAGGACCCCATCCTAGCTCCTCCCACTCCACCCAACCCCCATCCCAAGTCCAGCAGCCCCAGGGGCCTCTATCAAGAATGATTTGAGTATGCCTTTTCCAGTGGTGGGGACCAGTAGGAGGTGGGGGGGGAGCATATAGTGATTATGGCGAATGTATTTTGCATCCATATCTGAAAGTAGAAGAATGAAATCTGTTGAAATTGTTCTAAAAATGGGGGAAGGGGAAGTGGGAGAATGGTGGAGGGGGTAAATCTAAGATATACTCTAAGTACATATATAAAGATCACAATGGATCTCTCTGCACAACTATTATATGCTAATAAAAAATTTTTTTAAAAAGAATGATTTGAAGCTGGGGTGGTGGCTCACACCTGTAACCCTAGCTACTTGAGAAGTTGATATCAGGAGGATTGTGATTTGAGACTAGCTGTGCAAAAATGTTTGCAAGACCCCATCTCAACAGGAAAAAATCTGGGCATGGTGAAGTGAGCCTGTCACCCTAGCTAGGACAGGAAGCTTAAAACAGGAGGACCGCAGTCCAGGACAGCCTAGACAAAAAGAGAGACCCTATCTCTAAAATAACCAGAGCAAAAAGGGCTGGAGGTGTGGCTCAAGAGGTAGGACACCTGCCTAGCAAGTGTGAAGCTCTGAGTTCAAACCCCAGAGAGAGAGAAAAAAAGAGAGAGATTGATTTGAAAGTGCTAGTTTAAAACTCAAGGATTAGGAAAAGCAGTGATCTGAGATGTTTTGCCATAAGAGATTACATGATTTGCTCCTGAATGAGATTAACTGAGAATTACTGCATTGGGTTCTACAGAAAATGGGTTGAATCACAAGATCCAGAAACATCCCTCATCTCCAATCTCTTTAACAAAACTCAGCAAAACAGGATAATTTTAATTTCCCAAGGGAACAAATGATCCTCACTTTAAGAATTTCTGTGGGAAAAAACCTTTAAATTCTAGGCAGGTGTGCACATGTGTGTGAAAATTTCTTTATTTTTATTTAACTAGTGTCTTTGAACTCCATTACCTGACTCTTTAAGGCAGAAAAATAAACCATAGTTACAACAATGGGATGACCAGAGTTCACACACAGAAGAAGCAGAGGGCGGCTTCAAATACTCACTCTTCTCTACTTTCATCCGCTTGGACTCCATGAAGGCCACATTCAGCCTCTGCTCAGTGTACTCCTGAAGGAGGTCCTCTCTGGCTGCCAGCATTTTCAGAGGGTTTTTGGAAGCCTGGACCCGGCGCTTGGGTCTAACTGCACGCTTGTGCTCAGCCACAGAAGATGTCAACCTGCGGGACCAAGCAGAGCCAGGTTCAGGCTGCAGCTCCAGCCAAATCTGATTTACTTGTGGTACTTGCAATCAGAGCATTGCATTCTACAATATTATTTCCTGATTTCATTATGAATTGTACAGCTCCTCCTACCCCCCATTCACCTGAGGAGGAGTCATGAAATCTTGCAGGGAAAGCCCATGGAGGGCAGTCAGTGCTTCACGGGGTAGCTCATTCCACTGCTAGCTCTAAAAGTTGGGGAGCCTGCTCATGCCGTGCCATCCCTACTTTGCTCTTTAGAAGAGCACACTGATGTCTACTGCTGCTCTCACCAAGCCTCTGAGAATATATAGGTAGCCATTGCCCTGCCCCTTGGTTTCATCCTCTTTGCTCCAGACTAAACCTTCCCTCTGTGCAATAGCTTTTCTGTTCCTTCGCCATCCCTCTTGGCTCACTTCCACTCAACTAGTGGCCCCCTGACAAAAATAACCACAATTTTGAAGAATACAGTGAAATAAAATAGACCTGCAAAACCATCTCTGACTCCCTGACACTTTCACAAGTCTGTGGGCAAAAGAGCAGGCTGGGGAGGTGACTCCATCAGATTCCTGATCTATGTTCAACTTCCAAGTGCTCATTCGGGTCTCTGTGAATGAAAATCTTATGCATAACACCGCCTCTGTGTGTGTGTTTAACAATTTAAACAATGACATTTGAGTGAGGTTGAGAAACGGTTAAATAACCACGTATGCAAATACTTCAAACGTTATTTTAAGGTGGAAAAAGGCAAACTGTTCATTTTTGGAAGATAGGCAATGGAAACACACAAATTGAAACAATTTGAACAAATTAAAGTATGCAAACAATGTACCAGGAGCAACTTATGGAAAATTTATATTAACTAAACGTACTCCTGGAAGAGATGGTCACTCTGCTAATTATGCAGGAAAGAAAAGAAACACATGCTGGGTGGCCATGGGTGTAGTCTGTCCAGCACATGCACCTCTGTGTATGTCTGGTAATGACATTTGGGGAAACCACCTCATTGCATCCCTCTATGGTGCTGTGTGGGGGATCTAGAACCTGGCTTGGGCCAACCAGTATCTTCTGTCCCTTTGTCACAATGGATGATTTAGGGATGGATTAGAACTCAAGCTGGAGCAATGAAAACCAAACCTAGAATTTCTATTGATCTACTGGGAAGGGAAGGTGATGGTGCTAGGTAGGCCAAGAGGGTGGCCTGTAAATCTGGAGCTAAGGGTGGCCACCTTCCACCCCACTGTTACAGTGTGACCAAGAGTGAAGCCAGTTCAAGGGAAAACAACCAGAGAGAGGCCATGCCAGACAAGTCTCTGGAAGCTGAGGTCCCACCTGCACTTTTTAGAACGTGAACCCATAAACTCCCCCACCCCTTTCTTTTGCTAACATCAGTTCAGCTTGGGTATTTTTCTGGCATTTATAACTGACAGGATCCTAATACCACAATAATTTCTTAGGTGGGTTGGACATGTTCTTACATGAGGAGACACCCTTGGGTATTGCTGAGAAAACCCTCAAATCTGCTGATTTTATACATTATTGCAAGCTAAGTAACCTTTTTCCTGATTTTCTAATTAGTTGTAATCTGAGTTCATATCACCCAAATATTCATCACTCAGTTACAAATAAGAATGAAATATGCCAAATGGAACAGGTGTAGAAATCTCTGTTAAGTGAGGTAAATCTAAAAAAAAAAAAGTAAGTGGGAGCTATCTAATCAATGTACAATGTAGCCTATTTGAAACTGTCGTAATGAATCCCTCCTGTACAATAAATATATCTTCATAAAAATGAAAAAAAAGTGAAATTTCAAAAAAGTGAAACAATTTTCAAATTATGTGAAAAATCCAGTGACACTCTTCTAAGGAATAGGTCACACATCTGTGGCACAGTTGAGAGCCCATGGGTTTTATCTGCCTTTCAACACTGTTTATCTGGCTATAGAAGAATAATATAAATATAGTGAGTTCTGCTGAGGAGAAAACATGGTGCCAGCGGCCATTCTCAGAGGAAGAAAGGTGAAGACTGAAATAACTCACTTGGGTGCATAAGGGTCAAAAAGAGCATCAAAGTCCTCGTCCAGCTCCACAGGGCTTCTTGGTATAGTATAGTCCACACTGCGGTAGAACTTGGCAAAAGTCTCATCGTCATCCAACTTCATCACCTCCTTAACAGATTTCCCAGTGACAGTGAGTACCGTTTCTTGCATCCCACCAACTATCAATAAACAAGCAAATAAACAGCATTAAGAGTTTTTATAAAAAGCTACTTGTACTATTTTCAAAATCGTCTCTCCCAAATGAGTTGTAGGAGTGGAGAAAATATGACAGCGATGTGCAGGGTACCAGGGCTGCCTGCCAGGCCTTTGCTTGACTTGTCACATAAGGATGTACTACTTGAACAAACCTCACACAGTGAAATGGTAGGAGGGGAGATGACCTTGCTGCACACGTTCTCACTGAGCATTTCGGAACCTGACCTGTTAATGCTGGAGGGACAACAAAGCCCAGACTCCTTCCATATTAGGGCTCAGTAAAATCCTCCTGCAAAGGACCAGGTAATAAATACTTTAGATTTTGCATGGGAGCTATATGGCTTGTGTTGCAGCAACTCAGTTCTGTGTTACAGTGCAAAAGTAACTTCTGACAATAGGTTCACAAATAGACAGCTGTGCTCCAATAAAATTTTATTTACAAGAACAGGTGGAGAGTTGGCTTTAACCATGGTCAATGTTTGTTGACCAATGGGTTTGAGCACTGTTATTGTGTACATAATAAACTTTGCCTAGCCTGTTTAGTTATTGTATTATACTTGTATTTCAGGATGACAGTGGTTCTTTGTGTTATTTTCAACTTTTAGAAGTCACTATCAATAGCAGGAGCTTCTGGTGTCTGCTATTTCATGTTTCAAGTACTGGATATTTTTATTAAGAGATAAGTCTATTTCTGCATATTATGCTTTTGTGGACCTCATTGACTTTTGTATTGAAATACTTATTTCAGTATCTATTTATTAGAATTTCCTTTTAGAAATCATCTATGAATTTTAAGAAAGAATATTAGCTTTACCATATTAAAACTTACATACACAATTTTGGACTGGTGGACTGGCTCCAGTGGTAGAGCGCCTGCCTAGCAAATGCAGGCCCTGAGTTCAAACTCCAGTGCCACATACACACACACAAAGCAGAAATTATATACACAATTTAAAGTTCACCCAAGATCATGCTGATTTTGCATATGATGTATAATAATCTGCTTTCAGAGTTCACAATTCTGATTGGATGACATCTCAAGGGCTTAGATTCAGAACGAGTGTGGTACAGGGAGTGTCCAATTTAATACGTCATTAAGTGAATCAGAGCTTGATAATCTAAGCAATCTTGACCAAAGCTTCATTTTTTTAAAGATAGCAACAAAGATAATGAGTACAATAGGAATTAGTAAAACTATCCTAGAAAGAAGACAATTTAGCTGAGGATGAAAATTCATCAGGATTAGCATTTGGAGATTTTGAGAGAGAAGCTTTTGTTTTAGGCTTTCTTAGCAATTCATTGACAATGCAAACCACAGTGTGTTATAAGAACATAAACCAAAGCTTGCCTCTGGATTCTGGTACATACCTTTGTTATTCAGCCTTCTTAGAAAGGTTTCCAGCCTGTCCAACTTCAGGTCTGATTCCAAATGCATATCTGGTCTGGCTTCAATATCTAAGGAAATAGAGACCATCAGTGAGGCAGCGCCACTGAGGACTACGATCAGGAACTTATGGAGCATTGGGCACCCCAGTGACTTACCTTCTAGGGGTTTGGAAACTGGCGTAGTGCCTCTTGACTTATTGCACAGAGGGGACATCACTGGAGTTATGGCAGTAGGTGATGCCAAGCCTGCAAAACAAATGATGGAATGATTTAACATCTGAAAGTTCCTTCTGGAAGTTCTCAGGACTTGATGCAACTCCAGGAGTTCCAGTGTAGATTGTACAATTCAGAAGAATTTATGCCACACGTGCATGTGCACACATACATGCATGCATTTGATGGCTACCATGTCTACAAAGGACAACTGCAACTGTACACAGGATTTTATTGTTTCTAAGAACAATGTACCTGGTGAGCTGATATTCCAAAATGAACAATGAAAACTCAGAAAAACAAGTGCACGATATATGAATGGAATAAGAGCAATCAGAACATATTTGAGTAAATGCAGCTATTAAGTCTGAAGGCCTTTTCTGGGTGTCACTACCTCCTACAGAGGAAGTTAAGAATAAGCTGTGTCACAAGCCAGCAAGTGGCCCCGGGCCCTGTGGGGAGGTAGGAACAATCTAGCATGACATAGACAATAACCCAAAGAGTGCTGACTTTTCAGTAGGAAGATGGGACAGTGTGTATTACATTGATTTGGGATTGTTGGAGGGTCATACCATGTTCGGGTATGGCTGGAAACTAGTGATGTACTTTCTCATGTATTTACTGAGAAGCACGCTGGGTAATCTTTACAGGCCAAGGGTTAAGGGATATATGAAGGGGAGAGAATGGAATTTTGGCATGGAGGAGGTATTGGAACAAGAAGACTTAATAAAGGGAAAGATAAGTACTTTTTCTTAACCTTAGTGGAAGGGATAGGAAAGTGAAGTAATTAGTGCATTTACAAAACAAAATGTGAAACTAATGTTATTTGTATTCCTTTGTAATAAATATGAATCTTTTTTTGGTGGTACTGGGGTTTGAACTCAGGACCTTGCACTGGCTAGGCAGGTGGTCTACCATGTGAGTCACACCCCAGACCATAAATGTGAAATCTTTATATGACATCACCTTTTTAAGCATCCCTCAAAGAACAGCCAGGGAATATGTAAATCACTATCATATTTAAGGAAAAAAGTAAATGAGTGAATTACTCTGCTTTTTCCTCCTGTGAGTTGGAGAGGTATTATAGCATTAAAAATTAAAAAAAAAATGACCCATACATTTTAGATAATATGTTGCAAATACTTCTCAAAGCATACATATATTTTCATCTATATATTTGCAAATATATATGTGTATATATATTATACACATAGATATGTATAATTTGTTTCAATTAGGAGACCTGCAAAAGGTTGTTTCAGTGAGTAAGTATGCGTTCTTGAAAGATAATAAAAGTAAAATTTGGTGTCACAGAATGGGACAGTAAGTCATTACCTACTAGAAAGATGTTTAAAAGATATCAGATGAGTTCATTAGCACAGAAGTTGCTACCTCTGAAACTAATAAACAGGACTGACCTAGAGGCTGAATTCCAAGCAACCAGAAAATCTCCCTTCTACAATGTAGGCACTGTTTCCATGGCGCCCCCTACTGTCCATTCTAGTAGTGCACAGAAAAAGCTCAGGAGGTAGGGTATTGCTTTCTCAGTGAGAGATGGTTTTTCCATAATTCCAGGACATATAGATTTAAGTTACAAAATGCTAAATCAAAGCTCTCTCCCATATCTCTTTTCAATGAATGCAATGGATTACTCTTTTCGGAATTATTTCACATCTTTTTTATTCAAAAGCATACTTTCAGTACCTTTCTTCCAGAACAATCCTAGAACTCTAGAAATCTTACAGAATGCTAGTTGTTACATAGAAACTTGGAATATCAAAAAGGAAAAAGTTCTAAGGAAATTAGGGGAGCATGGGGCTTTCTGGGGAGAGAGAATAAAAACCAAGGTTCAGAGTGCCTCCTGGCAACTTGCTGATGAAAGCTAACTCCCGGTTGGTGGCTCAGTGGTGCTATGAACTTGTGAGATGAGAAGTCTTTGTGACTGTCGTGTAGGGACTATTTATTCTGCAGTGAATGTAAATTAGATGCCATATTATTGCAAATCAAAAAGAGCTAATGGTTCAAGTGAAACATTAAAACCTGGTAGGTGGTAACATATATTAGAAAAATAGGGTACAGTTTTTTTCATTAGATTAAAAGCATAAGAAAATTATTTCTCAAGCAAGTCTGTTAAACAAGCATTTGTGATTTATTCAAGAAAAAAGGAAAGCGAATATTCAGTATTTAAACCTGCATCTACTTCCTCTGATGCCAGAGTGGCCAAGGGCACAGGCACCAGGTTACTCGGTAGAAAGAATCTACTTATAAATAAAATACTATTCTTAAGATGGGAGAGGAAAAAAGGAACCAAAGTAAGATGTCGTTAGGGCAAAAGTTGAAGTTAGGGTTGGAATACCTGAGCTCTGGTTTAAGTTCTCAGCTTCAGTTGCATTTAATCGATCTGGGCCCAAGGGTCTGCTCTTTGTAACGGAGGGATGGTAAAGTCATTTAAACAGGATTATATAGTTCTGAGACTCAATGAAGAAAACAGTCCAATACTACCTCACTCTGTGGTAGTAAATTATCTTCTGTCTTCTGACAATTCAAGATGAAGTGAGAATACCTTTGTTAGAAAGGATGCTTCTACTAAGATTCAAGTTGAACACAATTCAGGGTCTCCCTACCCTCCCTCTCTCCCTTCCTTCTGTAAACATTTATTGTGTGCCTACAGTGAATTAGGGTCTATTCATCAGAGTGAGGATTCCTAAAAGTTTTGAGAAAAAGAGCAGCTAAGCCTATGAGGTTGATGACAATATGTTAAGACTAAGAGAATGTGAAAACTTTTACCATTAACTTAGGAAATCGGCTTTTAAATAAGAGCTTGGAAAATGAAGGTGAGCACACACACGTGGCGATGGGACCCCAAAAGCGAACCATGCTCTACATGATATGAAACAAACCCCAAACACTCCTTGGAGCCTCAAAGCTCTCTAACGTCTCTACTAACCAGGTGACCTGCCACTCAATTTCCCGTCTCTGCATACAGGCTTCAAAGCAGTTCCAATGCTTCTTAGTCCCCTTCCTTGGAATTGAGTACATCTTTTAGACAGCTATCAAAACATATATGCAAACTGACCTTTGTATGTCAGAGTCTCTTTGATGGAAAGGGATATAGGAATTAATGCACAAGGTACAGGAGATAAACTCCTTCATTGTTAAATGTTTGCTTGGGGTAGCTAGAGGCTGGGTCACAAGAAAATGGCAGTGATTTAAAAGAAATCCTGGGAAAGAATTTGTTAAAGAATTGTCAGCAGATTTGCAATTGTTTTAAAATCTACAGTTGTATTAATTTCCAAATGACTAAGTTTTGAAGTAGTGACAAATTAAATTATGCTTCTTACATTGATGATGAGACAAAATGACTATGATGTATTTAGTAGGAATAGCCCACAAAACCTATCCAAAAACCACTCACACAGTAATATCAGGATGGTTAAATATTCACATTTTTAACTGAGCTGTCACCTCCATGGTGAGCAGGCCCACGCGTGTGTACACAGCTACTCACTCACACATACACACTTGCTCTGACCTTTCTTCACCATTCTGCCTGCCACGGTGAACTGGGTGGAGTCGTTGGCAGCTCCTCTGCCCTTCGTCTTCCATGCTTCCTCCCTCACAGTGATCAGGTGCTTTCTCTCCTCAATTGTCATTTGGCTCTCTCGACTTTCTGTGACCCGCTGTTTACAGAAATGTACAAAAGAGAAAATAAGAAAGAATGGAAT